GCTTCATAAAAATATTTACTTGGACTTATCGTTAAACTGCGGCACATATGTGCACATATGATTTGCATAAAACGTGACCACATATGCACATATATTCACATCACATATTCCCGGCCACTCTAATCAAGATATATATATAATACTGTATAAAAACAACTAAATTGATTAGTCAACTAATCGATTAACTAACCAATTGATTAATTAATTGACAATTAATCAATTAACTAATCAATTGATTTTTCAATTTGGAACACTACTTTCTATAATTACATTTTTGGTTTGAAGAATTTGGTGCTTATATAGAGTTTGTGTTTTTATATAAGTTGAATTTTATGTGTTATATAAGCAAATGTGACTATAGAATAGATGACTATAGAACAAGGTTGTGACTATATCAAGAGTGACTATAACGAGGTCTAACTGTATATGGTTTATAATAGTTGGACAAGAGAAAATAGTGTGATTATAATGAGGTCTAACTGTATATAGTTTATAATAGTTGGACAAGAGAGTGTGATTATAACGAGGTTGTGACTATATCAAGGACTATAACGAGATTGACTGTACATGCGATGTATAAGCACATCGCAGGGTGCGACTCATACATTTATCCTAAAAAAAAAACTTCAGAAAAGACAATTTTATAATCCAATTAAACATTTATCTTGATCGTTCTGAAGACGAAGATTTACCTACCTGGCAGTTTAATTATATATACAGTTTGAAAAAGCTAAATAAAATGGCAACAGAGTTCCAAATTATCAAATGTCAAATGTGTATGTCTTTTTTTGAACGCTTTAAAATTTTGCATTTATATAAAGCTCAGAAAAGATGTATATTATAAATCAATATGCCATAATAACGTAAAAAAAATTAAGGAGAGTATATTTATATTTCCATGAAAAACAAAAAAAAAAAAAAAAAAAAGATATAAAAATGTGAGCTATTTACATTTATTCGGTACTCGACCGACAGGTAGTTGAATTAGCAATCATTAAATTTTCTCTTTTTTTTTAGCTTTTGTATTCTCTTCGACTTGTCATGAGAAAAAAAAAAACGTTAACTGGATAAAAAATTTTTTTAGCAAGAAAAAAAAGCTTCTAAACTGACAACAAAAGTTAGAAATTATTAATGATTAAAATTATTAATAATCAAAAAGAGTAGTTTCTAAAGATGTTTGCAAGATATTGAAGTATCATAATTTTTAGTCAAGTCTTATTTCTTTGCCTTCTTTCCTGCTATTTATCATCGATATTTATCCAGCAAGGAAAGTTGTTCCCTAAAAAAAATATATATATATTTTTTTTAGTGTATCTTCCAAATGTATCTTCAAACAAAAAAATGAACATGAAATAAGGTTTATAAATGAATGTCTAATTTTTCAGATATCCCCAAATAATACCACAGACAAGTATTCCGCCAGTTGCCATTTTGAAGGAGGTTTGAATTTATCCATGATATACTGCTGCAAGCAAAAGAAATTAAGTTGATCCTGAATAAGACCAGTCCATCGAAGATAAACAGGTTCAGGAGAAATTGAGGCAAAAATTCCACTATTTTTGCTACTTTTTTCATTAGAATTATTTGAATCATTTATATTATCATTACTAACGTTTCTATTATGTCTACTAGTGTTGCTACTTGTTATGCTAGTATGTTTACTCGAACTTGAAGTGGTAATATTAGAAACAGATGCAATATCATTTCTCAATTTTCTAGTAAAATCTTCAAACGCTATGGCCTCAAATTCTTGATCAGCTTGAACCGTAGAGACCATCATTGAGTCAATTCCACGATCCATTTGACCACGATAAAATTGCACCCATCCTAGGTCTTCCAGATATTGTTCAATATCATCCGCAACACGTTGTAAGGCATCCCAATCATGAGTGTAATAGTAGTTTACAGCCAACATATTATGCAAAAATAGACTAAACCTTTCAACGATATGCATTACACGTTCTTGCCTACGTAGTGCTCTCTTCGGACCAGGTTGTTCAGCAGCCAGGCCTGGAGGTTCCGGAGGGGCATTGATGGTGATAAGACGCTTTGCATAATCAGTCTCTAGAGGGAATCGCCATTCATTTGCAACCTTTAAACGGTTTTCAGGAGGAATATCACGGCTGTATCGCACGAACCATAGTTGAGCTGTTACAGTGTGCGGCCCCGATAAAGTTCGAAACAGATGATTTGTAGAAGATAAAGAGCGCAGATCTTTAGGATTATCGATACAAAAGATTACGAGATAAAGGATTTCAGTTGGAAGAGAGGTTAATTGAACAGGGACACGTTGAACCATTTTGGCAACTTAGTTTGCCAACGTTTGTTCAAATATTTGTAAAATATTTGTTAGCTATAACAGCATATAATTTATGTAAGAGCCGATCTAAAGTTTGACTGTCCCGTGGAAGGGAGTGGTGAGTATGAGAAGCTGATACGTGCGATTGTGTGAAGAGAAGGAAGGGAAATAAAACAAATTTGAATTGTAGATAGAAATTCTACCGATACAAATACCTGAATGAGTTTAAGTGTTACATGATTGGATCATGTGTACATACCGTAATTACTAAAAATATAACAAACATTTACACAAACGCATGCACTCGCAACTTATAATTTTATTTTAATATTATATGTAGGAATTATTGCAGAATACTTGTTATCTGGTTTTGTTGTGTATTGTGCAAATATCAAGATAAATAAACTTGTTGACATATAATCATGTGTTTGATATGCAACTGCAATGAAACTACGTAGAAGTCTTGTATATTGATTTTGTCTATATCTGATATCGACATATGGGGTTTTAGTAGCGTTTCGGGACTGTGTAAATTCTATATAGATAAACAAAATCCTACAGTACCGGACAGCAAGAAACATCCAATATTTTTTTAAAAGCGCCAAATTTTGGGATTTATACTCAAATCTGATT